GTGTGTGTGTATGTGAGAGAGAGAGGAGGGGGCGGGGGGGGGTGGTTAGAAGCTGATTGAAATTCTTGTTGAAAAGATAAAGCACACAAATGATATAGTATATAAACAAGTGACAATATAGCTCATATTCAAACTGCAGAATTCAAAGAAGTTATGTTATGGGCAGTCAGAGAAGGAATAAATACTGATAAGAGGGATTCTCTAGGAAGCTTAAAAAAGAAAGTGTGACTTCAGTCAGATAAGGAGCTAGATTATAAAGGGGCTTAAATACCATAAGTATGTGTTTCTTAAACTTAAATTATTTGTGGAACCTTACCACATCTATAAACTATCTGTAGTGCTTTTAATACTGTTTTTAAATTGATTCACCTATTCTACTGAAATAAATTTATTTCAAATGGAAACTATATCGTTACTTTTATGTCACTGTAAATGCTAGTGTAGTTTTAAATACACGTTAGACTCAAAATGCGACAAATAAAATTGTAAAAGTATGCATTCAAGTACACTTAAAACCATCTCATATACCAACAGCAGTATGCTGGACACACTTTGGGAAACACCAACCCAAATACTTGTAGTTAGTCAACAAATGCACGACTCTCTTAGGCAATAGTGTCGTACCTTTCCCTTTCTCCTCCTTCCCAGCAACATTTCCTCCATCCCTCTCCTCTTGTATCCTTCTTAAAGAGCTTTATGTATTCACTTTCTCCAATTTCTCTCATCCCTTCTTCTCTTAACCCATTCCAGTTAGGCTTTCACAACTACCATTCTGTCACTTGACATTTAAAAACACCACTGCTTCTCAGTTTTCTCTGCCTTACTGGGCACTCCTCAGCTTTCTCCTTTGATTTCTCCTTTCTCCTCCAGCTCTTAATTTTAGTGAGTCCTTGGTTTTGGTCTTGTAACCTTTTTTTTTTCTATGTCCATACTCACTACCTTGGTCATCTCATTCTGTAATATGACCTTAAATGCATTAAATACACCCTATATACTGATGATTTCCAAATATTTATTTCCAGCTCAGATGTCTCCCCTGAAACCCAAGTGTGTATACTGCCTATCAGACATCTATACTTGGATATGTGGTAAATCTCTCACATTTAACATGGTCAAATCCTAACTCCCAATCTTTGCCCCCAAACCTGTTCTACCCACAAGTCTTTCTATCTCAGTTGATGGCAACTCCATCCAAAAATCTATCATTTCCTACTGAAATCTCTGCTCCCATCCATTATCATCGTCTGTCCTCAAAACTGCAATTAGCTTCTAACCTGTTTCCTTCTACTATATAATTTCAACTTTTAAGATCTGCTTTCTTAGCAACTTTTAAATATACAAGACAGTATTATTAACTACAGTCCCCATGCTGTACATGACATCCCTAGGACTTTTTATTTTACAACTGGAAATGTGTACCTTTTGACCACCTTAACCCAATTTACCCACCCCACATCCCTATACCCCTCCACCTCCACCCCCACTTCTGACAACCACCAATCTGCATTCTGTATCTACAAGTTTGGGTTTATTTTGTCTTTTTTTTTTTTTTTAGGTTACACAGATAAGTAAGACCATGCAGTATTTATCTTTCTCTGCCTCCAAGTGCATCCTTTTTGTCACAAATGGCAGGATTTCCTTCTTTTTTATGGCCCCTGTCCTCATAGACCTTATACATTTTAGAAACGACAGACATTAAACAAGTAATTACAGCATAATGAAATGTGACATGAAAAATGAAACCTTTTTTTGCTATAGCTGGTTTAGGATTTAGACTCTTCTTAAACTATAAGCTTAAGAAAATATGTCTCAAAATTTACATAGGTCCCAGTACAAGGCCTTCCATTCACACTAGCCATTCCTGTGAAAGGGAGGTTTAAAATGTTCATTATAGCTGAGCACATTGTTATTCCAACAACACAGAAGTTCTATTACTAAGAGAGAAAAAGAGAAGGAATATCAGGTAGGCAATGGCAGTCTCTGTCTTAGTGTTTAAAAATATATTTGTCCTGTGAATGAATAAAATCATCATTAAAGTCACTCCATCACTTTGATTTCCTCAATTAATAACATTCATTTTCTAACTCTCACTTGACAATACTCATTTCCTTATTATCTTAGGTCATTAGCTTTCCTAGTGTCTCAATTTGTTTTAAGTGTGTTTCTACTATAGATTTATTAAAGTACAGTAGTTCCCCTTATCCGGGGGGATACGTTCCAGGACCCCCACTGGATACCTGAAACCACAAACTGTACCAAACCCATATTTACTATTTTTTTCCTATACATACTTACCTTCAAAAGGTGGTATTGCAGATGAGCTTCCATCTAAGTAGATCCCTATATGGTGTGAGTAATCAGGTATTTAATAAGAGGCATTTCTATGGAAACAAAAGAAAAACAAAGGTTAATGAGTGGAGCAAATTGTAAATTTAGTTTCTGAGTCTAAAAGAGTTGTCAGTCGAGAAATTTTCGAGATTTAAGCTCGAAGCATCTTTAGATGGCAGAATGAGGGTGACACTTTCAATCTGATGAATTTTCCTGGTTTGCAGTTTGAATGTCTGATGATGTCATAATTTTCTGGTGAACTCTCTGAGTGGCCTACACAGTGGCAGGCACGAAGATGGTACATATATGATCTGTTATGGTGAAGTTTATATCAAGTTGTCTCTCTTTAGCTAGTTAGGGTGCAAGGGGAAAATAGTTTAGTTTTTAGTGATTCTAAGTCAGAAAAGTGGGAGAAAATTGGAAATGTTAGTTTGGAGAGTTGTAATCAGATATTAGAAACTAAAATTCAGGATCCACTCCAGTTTGCAGGTAGATAGCAAAACCTTAAAGACAATAAACCAGACTAGAATCTGATAAAGGGTACACAATAGTTTTCTATCGAAATACAATTTTTCCCTCTACAGTTACCCCATTTTTATCAAATATATTCACAGTAACACTAATTTGTTTGTATAATAAGTGTAGTCTCATTAAATTTGGCCTTGTTACTTAAATAAATATGGCAAGAATAGTGATATTATGCACATTTTTAGATTTGATACTTCAGTTAAAGTTCTGCTAATATCCAAAGCACTTTATTGGCTCAATAAAGTGAATTTTAGTGCCTTAAAATTGGTAATAAAGAATCTCAGATTAGATTTTTAATAGTCTTTTTAGGCTAAGCATGAAAGTTCAATGAGATTCAAAGTGAGTACACAGTTCAAAGATAAAATTGTTAAAAATTTCAAGAGGCTGCAGAACATTAAAGCAAGTATGAAGTCCTTCTAAACAGAGGGCCCCAAGTACAAAGTAAGCATGTCATGGAAACCATTTAGTGAGCATCTTGAACACTGTATGGTAATGAGGTGGGATGAGATATGGATGGACGCATATAATACACATATTTCATACATTCATATACATGCTCCATTGTCTCATCAGACTTTACTTACAAGTCATGTGCTCAAAGACAATTAAGCATTTCAAGATGGCAAGAACAGAGCAAAAATCTCTCTGCTCCTTCCTGCTCCTTGACGCTTCTGCACATATAGCCATACCGCCCAGTAGTAATAATCTGAGGACTAATGGACATAATCTGGTGGATGACACTTGCAGAACAAGTGTGGGCTGGAGAAGGATGTCTAATCTCTTCCACAGAAATCAGGAAGGCCTGAAGTGGGGCTTAGACTAGAGTGAAGATGTAAATGTTAGTTATCGTTAAAACAACAACTTTATAATAAATTGAAAGCCTAAATTCAAAGCACTTGTTTAGGTTTCATTTATCTATTGTTTTATTGTTCCAGTGAATATTTACTGACTTACTTCGAATTGCTAAACAGATGAAGATTTAACTATGAATAGGCAGATACAGTTCCTACCCTATGCAACTTGAATAAACAGGCAATAAATGACAAGTCGGTGCCACAAGGAGTACCTAGGGGAACCTGTATGGCAATAAATACAAAGGAGTGTACTTAAGGGGGCTTTGGGGAAAGATAAGACTTCTGGAATTCACCTCTACGATGACACCTGCAGCTTGGGTGAGTAAGGGGGTCCAGGGGGAGAAAAGACTCTTCTTGACAAAAGAACAGCATAGGCAAAAGCAGCGAGAACTATACGGAAATGAAAAAAAAAAAAATTCAGAACAGGTGGAACCCTGGGGGTTCCATCGGGCTCTTTAAGAACCAAACACTTTAAGGAGTTCTTAAATGCATTGGAGAGCCATAATTTAAGAATTTCATAGTAAATTATATTTTCTCTGTCAAAATAACACTATGAAGAACATAAGGGAGTAGAGTCCGTCATCAAAGTAGGTGCTTGTGCATCTCATACAGATTAGGTAGTTGGCTGGATTACGGGATGGAAAATAGTGAGTTGAATATAAGAAACACTTAGAAAGTAGAACTGACAAGACTGGGTGACAGACTGGACATGGAAAGACTGCGAGAGAATAAAGAATCAATTAGAAAGATTCCCCAGACTTTTGGGACGGTAACAGGATAGAAGGTGCCGTTTCCTGAGGGTTAAAGAGCCAGAGGTAATCGGGCAGAGAAAATACCTGAAGCTGAATATTTCAGGTATCTGCAACTTCCCCAGTAATACACTGTTAATCCAAAATTTGCTCCCTATTTTGGTTTTAATATCCCTAAAATTTGCCTCCGTGCAGTAGGTTGACTGCTTGAGTGGGTAACCAACCTAGGAGATTCTTCTCACAAGAGGGAACCCTCGAGCACAACCTCGAAGATGGGAAACTGTAAAAATGAAAGAATCGGGAAGCTTTCCGGCGCCTTAAAATACCCACCCCTGCAAGGATTGGGAGGCGCTCCACCTCTATAAGCCGACTGCTCAGAGCAGGATAGGGCCATCAGGTCAAGAGAAGCAGACTACAGGCTCCGCCCCACCGCGACGGGGACTACGAATGCCCGGATGTGGATTCTCGGAGAGAGTGAGTCACGTGAGGACGCCCGGCGGGGCGGAACTCTGCCTGCGTCTGTGGTTGCGGCGTCGTCTCACGTGACCGCCTGCCACCCAGCCAATGTGTGAGCACGGCGGCGAATTTTGAATGTGGTCGTCTTAGTCGGAGGGTGACGAGACGGTGCCGTAGACCTGGAGGTCCCGGAGCACGGAGCACACACAGCTGACAGTTTCGCGCAGACTTGGAATGTGAGGAGGAGGGCGACAGCTGCGGCAGAACTGGTAGCCAAGGTATTGTTGTGGACGTACCTGTGGGAGGCGGGTCTCCTGGCCCTCTTCCGGCAAGGCACCGCTGCCCCCCACTCCCGCCCCCTGGCTTTCCTGGAGCCTCTCGGAGAAAGAGGAGGCCGCCAGATTTTCAGGTGTGGATCTGGGGCGTCGTTATCCCTGTTCCTTTTCCCTCAGGGGTCTCTGTCGTTCAAAGTTCAGTGGTCAAATGCTCAGGCTGCGGGACTGACTGGGTGTCTCTCTGCTCAGCCATCCTACCTGCGCTTTCGGGTGACCCAGTTTCCTCTTCTGTCAAATAAGCGGGGACCCAAACCTCCTCTCCTGCCTTACAGAATTGTGTAAATTAAGTGATGTGTAAATAAAGCATTTACAATAGTTAAAAACCAGGCTCATCCTAAGGGCACACAAACTGGCAGCAGTATTTTGTGCAGCGCAATACTGGTGATGCCCTCCCCTTTTGCATCATGCGTTACCTCGAAGAGGCCTGCACCAACCAATCACCCCCACCTGGCTGCCTCAGCGGCAGGAATGACCAAAGAATTATGACAGATAAAATATTCTAAGTACTTTTGAATCCATACCCCTTACCGAAATGCTATACCGCTCGCACTGTGGCCTGTTTTCATTCCTTCTCTCCACCACACGCCCCCCGTTATCACCATCGGACTAAACAGGAAACAAAACTTCCGATAAGGTTAATTTGTTTTGTGATTTTAAGTTGATTAAATGTAATAACAGTTTTTTAGGTAAAGCTTTGCTTTTGAAATACCATAACTAAACTAACTCTATTAGTTACTCAATCTATAGGGCTCTCAAACATCTCCAGTTCAAACTTCAAAAACTCCACTGTGGTATGCTGTTTTATACAACTCAGTATTAGTGCTTTAAAAATAGTTGTGCTTGCTCTACTGGAAACATCCCAGTATATATTGTATCTATATTGGCAGAAAGCTAATATTTAAGTGGGATCTAGAATATCTATATTTAGGACCCCAGGCACTGCATGCAGGAACATAAGGGCTGGAGAATTCCTCAAGAAAATGTAAGGCTCGGGAAAATATTTGACTAAAAGGAGATGAAGGTAGCCTTTGTAGTGAAAATTGTCTATGTAGATTGTTGTAGGAAACAATTATTTTTTTGCAATTTTAAGATCTACAAAGTGCAATCTAGGTTAAGAGATGTTCATGAAAAGTAGTTTGACATGCTTAGTAGCAGAACGCTGAAGCATATTTGCAGCATTGAAAGATTTAAGTAGATTTATGTATTTATATATTCAATAGCATATTACACTTGTCAATGTATGTTTTGCTACTTTTAACTGTGTATAAAACAGTCATTACTTAATGTCTGGTTTGCTATATTCATGATGTACTAGGAGTTAGCAGACCTGAGTTTTAGTATAACTATGAGAAAATTGACATGTTCCTGCTGGTTCTAGCTCTATCATTGTTATGAAGCTATGTACTTTGAGCTAGTTCTTCATTTACTAAGTTCTATTTAATCATTCTTTATGAACAGCCTGTGTTTTCAAACTTGTGTTATATTTGATAATACTATATTTTAGAAAATTTAAATATTCTTTATTTTAAATTTCTAGGTAGAAGATGGCCAAAGAAAGGATCCTCAAAAAGTCCTTTCAGGATAGCCTTGAAGACATAAAGAAACGAATGAAAGAGAAAAGGAATAAAAATTTGGCAGAGATTGGCAAACGAAAGTCTTTAATAGCTGCACCATGCCAAATAATCAGTAAGATTTTCATGTTATCCTTTTGCATCACTTTTTAAGTTTAGGTTTAATAACTAATAAGACATTTTTTATCCTCTTTTAGCCAATACTTCTACACTGCTAAAAAACTACCAAGACAACAACAAAATGTTAGTTTTAGCTTTGGAAAATGAAAAATCCAAAGTGAGAGAAGCCCATGACATCATCCTACAGCTGAGAAAGGAATGTTACTACCTGACATGTCAGTTATATGCACTGAAAGAAAAACTTACTTCACAACAAACAGAAGAACTTGCTCAGGTATTTTAATTACAAAGGCTAAATTTCTAAGGAAAAAATGTTAAAGCTATGACTTAGTAGATCAGTTGTAAATCTATGAATTAAATCAATTATGTTTCTTTAAATTTATTACTGATAATTGTGTTATAAGTGAATTGATCAAAACATCTTTTTTTAGTGCTCCAGCACAGCTATTGTATATGGCCAGTTAAGAACACTTCAAGCATAAAGGTGATTGAGGCTTATGTTTGTATAACTTGCTTCTGAAAGCATATAGCAAGACAAAGTACAGAAGAAATATGTTTAGCCTTTTGCACTGCCAGTCCCTTTAAATGTTCAGCTAAGTCAGTCAAAAATAGGACAACTAAGTTAAAGGTCTAAAAGTGGTAGTTGAAGCAGACTAGTCCAAATCAGTACTATGATTCTTAGCTTTTCTATGTAATTTTGCTATCCATTGAGGTTTTATGAGAACTACTTTAATTTGTGGGTGGAATGTATTTAAGTGCTTTTTGGAGAATCATTTTTACCTACTAGGTGGCTAAATAAAGAAGACTTGACATTAAGAAATATCTTGAACATTTTACTGTCCATATTTTAATCTGATTGTGTCCAATGTTGTACAGAAGGGCTAGCCAAAATATGACAGACATGGAGAAAGCTTGATTTAGGATATTCTTTGTCTCTTTGCACCTTAATCCCGAGAAGAGTAATAATGAGCCAGTTTCTTCTCTCCTCTTCCCAGAAACCACTCCCAGGGAAACTCATGGGCAGAAAAAGAGAAAAGCAGTACTGAGTGTCAGGTGTTAACAGAAGAGTTTACTTTCTTCCCAGGTGGCCATTTGTTTGCTTTGCTAGTGAAGACAGTCATGTTGGCAGGGGACCAGAGAAGAAAGCCAGACCATAGTGATTAGGTTAGGGATATAGACTTGAGAAAGGAATTAAAGTCACCTCTTTGTTGACAGGAGGAGTCAGTGAAAGAGTTCTTGCTTCCCTGCAACTAAGGTGATTCCATATTTTTTCTGTGCATGGTATACAGAATGTGTGTATATATGTATATATACACATATATATACATATATGCAATATATACATATACAGTGTAATAGAGAAATGTCTCTATAAAGATCAGATATGATTTCTTTACCTTCATGTGAGGGTTAGATTATTTCAAAATTTTTTTTCCATTCAAAATGTAATCTTTCCTAATATTTTTCTTCTCCTTGTTTGTTCAACTAGTGAGGAAAAGTATTCCTCCAAATACATTTGAATCTTCTTCCCTTTCCAAAGCTTTTGCTGAAATCACACATAGAATAATATAAAATAGTACCCAGTGAGATAATCACAAAAACATTGGGTGGTAATTATGTTATTGCAGGCCTTTTGACATTTATCAATGATTTTTCAGTATTTATTAAAACATACTGTTAATTGCTGGGCGAATGTCTTCTTAGCATTTAAAATATCAAAGTTCGTTTTCTGCCACATACTTGTTGCATATGTCATTCTACACTCTTGCTTCCTTGTTTATCAAGTCAATTTAACAGTGATGGAGAAGCTTAAAATGCTTTAATAAGAATGTTTTTCTTGCCTACCAAGTTATCTTATAAAGATTAATCAAAAATTAATTTCTAATAGCCTTTTGTTCTCTAAACTTTATAATAGATCTTTTTAATAATTTGTTTTTAAATTATATCACACTGCAATTAAACAAGTCTCCTTTATTTACCTTCGGTAATAATACTAGTTTTAGAACATTAGCTATATTGAGAAAAAATTTAAAACTTTTAACAGGATTAAATTTCTGGTGGTTTTGTTTCTGGTGAATAGTTTTAACCTATTCATTATAATATTACCATATCACATGCGTATCAAATTTCAAAAAACAACTGAATTAGAATGACTTCTTAGGAATCGGACTGGAACTCTCGTCTTCCTAATACAAGTCTACAAATCTCCCTATATCTATACTTGTGTTCTCTGTCTTCCCTCTTGTTGCAGTGACAGAAGTGTCCCTGCTCCTATCAAAGGCCAGGCCCTTCCCTTGTGTATCGGTTCCCTCCTTCTCGTCTACCTTAGGACTTTGCTCCTGAAAGTTTGTGCTCTCTTCCAGCATGTATCTCCCTCTTTGCTGAATCATTCTAGCTATCATACAAATGTACTTTAGAATCTCTCACCTTAAGAAAGAAAGAAAATAAATAAAACCTCCTCTCCTCATCTCATATCTCTTTGTGCTTATTTCTCTGCATTTTTTCACACAGAACTTTACCAAAGAGAACAAAGCACTTCCTATCTTCACTCCTTCAGCTTCCATTCACTTTTGAACTTACTGGGCTTTACTCATACCTTTCTATTGTCACTGTGTCAAAGTCGCAAAAAACTCCATGTTGCCAAATCCAGTGTCGCTTCTCTTCTTGACCTTGAAGTCATAACAACACAAGGTATTTGCTGGAAATACTCTGATCTCTTACCTTTCTTAACCATTATATTCTAGTTTTCATTCTACCTTTCTATCTGTTCCATGTCAATCTCTTTTCCTGACTTCCTCACTTTTAAATGTCAATGGTCCTAGGCCCATCTTATCTTATCCACTCCCGTAGCCTTAAATACTGTCTATCTGCTGGTAACTTCCAAACTTATAGTGCAAGACACACACACACACACACACACACACACACACACAGCTACTACTTGATATAGCCACTTAAATATTTATAGTTTCTCAAACATATTTTGTACAAAGCACAATTCTTTATTTTCCCCTTCCCAAATATATCATATACTTCTACCTTCCTCTGTAAGTCTTAGTCATCTCAATAAAACAGCCTACCCATTTGCTGAAGTCAAAACCATAAAAGGATACCCTCTCCCTCATTGTCCCCACCTCCACCCCTATTCAATCTGAACATACTTGGTTATCTCAAGACCTTCCACTCAGCTTCACCTTCATAGCCACAGGACTCCAGTCCTATGTAATATCATGCCTTGCTTAATTTACTGTGATGACTTCATAACTCCTGCCCTTGACCCCTTTCAATCCATGTTTCTACACAGTAGCCAGACTGATCATTTTAAAACTTATATCATTTTATTTCCCTGCTTAATATTTAAGTGACTTCCCATCACACTTAAACTAAAATTCAAACTCATGGCTCTCCAGACCCTGTATTATCTGGCGTCTGCGCACACATCTTCTACTATTCTTCTGTTCCTGCACTGTTCTTCTCAGTGACTATGTTCCAGCCACAGTGGCCTTTCTTTTCTTTTCACAATAAGGTTTTTCCTACATCATGACTTTTGTATTTGCTGTTTCCGTGGCTTTCTCTTCTCCCTGCTCTTTTGGTGGCTGGCTTCTTTGCATTCTTCAGATTTCAGATGAAAGCCTCCCTATCTAAGAGTCCTCTGTCACTTCACCCTGAGTTATTTCTTTCATAACACTTAACATTATATGAAATTACATATATATATGTATGTATGCATGTATGTGTATATGTATATACATATGTGTGTGTGTGTGTGTGTGTGTGTATTTAAAATTTGATCTCCCTACACTAGAATGTAAGCTTTAAGAGGGTAGGACTTAACCTCTTTTAGAACAATGCTTGGCACCATGGTGAGTAAGTAGTTATTAAATAAATGAATGCTTTGTTATGAATATTTCAATTTTACCAGTGTCTTTTTGTTTGTTTGTTTTAATACATTAACAGAACCATGAAGTATGTCCCTCTGGAATGGACTCCAATAGTGACAAGAACTCTGGGGATTTATTTGTGAAGGATTTACCGTTAGTATCAAATTCATTATTATGATTATTAATACCAAGAAAGTATTAATTCTGTGATCCATTTGTGAAAAGAAATTTGCATCCTATCGACTCTAGTATTTAGAGTTTGATGTTCTCTCTACTGAGAACGCATTTAAGGAAATTTAATATGTTGAAATTCTGGTATAGATAGCCAAGCCAAAGCTTTCTTATATTTAGTTCCTTTTTTGATGTCCAAGAATAAGCTTTTCTAGAATTTTTAAATTATTCCTTTCAGTTATATTTTTCTTGTATCAAGATTTTATTCTAAGGTTTGGTTATTCAAACGATGGCATTTTGCTAATACTACAAATAATCTGGTTTAGAAAAGAAATACAATAACATATTTAACAACACTGTCACCTTGTCTTGCTTAACCAATATATTTCTAAATACAATCATATTTCTTATACCCTCTTGCCATTTTCTTGGATTAAGTATACTTTATTTGTTTGCTATTAATTATTGAGATATAATTACATACAGTAAAATGCACAGATGTTAATTATACAGTTCAATGAGTTTTACTAATGTATATACCTGTGGAACCAAAACCTCAAGATACAGAGTATTGCCATCACACTGGCCTGGAGTTTTTAAATATTAACACTATTGACGTTTTGGACTAAATCATTCTTTGTTACAGAGAGCTGTCCTAAGTAATGTGGGATATTTAGCAGCATCCTTGACCTCTTCTCACTAAATACCAGTAGCACTCCTTTACCCCCAGTTATGAGAACCAAAAAGGTCTCCAGACATTGCCAAATATCCCCTGCGGGGATATAATTGTCCTCAAGTAGGAACTATTGCCTTATGCCATTCCCTGAAATCCTTTTCGAGTCTATATCCCCCTCCTTGCAGAAATAATCACAAATATGATTTCTTTTCCCATGTTAATTTTAATCATGAATAGTTTTAAAATCGTTCAACTTTAAGATCCAAAGAAAGTATGTAATGGGCAAAAAGTAAAATATGGTAATTGAGTTTTTATAAGATTTCTAAAATTGTTATTAGTTGGTTACCTAAACCTATATTTAAATTTTGGTATCTAGAGGCAAAAATTTTCTACAGAAAATAAAGAATAAAGTTATAATTAAAATGAAACAGCCAGTAAATAGTAAATACTTTTTCCATAAACCAAAGGCAGACAAGATTTTTAAAGAAAATAAAGTGTTAACTTCAGAGGAGTCAGTAGTTAAGCACCATAAAAGCATGTAGTACCGAAAAAAATCACAACTCACTAGGCTCCAAAAGAGTGGAGTGATCAAACTGCATTTTTAAATATATTTTATAAGTCAGTTCTGATTGGCTATTTCTCCAGTTAAATGAAATTATGAGTTATGGCATGTTTTAAGGGAAGAACAGTCTAATTTGATGTTAGTTATTCCAGTAGGAGTTGGGTGTTAGTCATAACAAATCAGCCTCCATGTAATCAGTATAAATATTTTTTGGTTTCCTTTGATATAGAACCAGATATACTGATTTAGGATGGAATTATGAAATAATACTGAAGAAAAAAGTTAATGTCAAGAAAGTCTTAAATTTAATTTTATTGCATAATTATTTAAATAAAATTCTATTTTTCAATGCTATTTTCCAAGGCAAGTTCCTCTGCAGGAAGCTCACCTTCCAGGACAAGGAGAATCATTCCAAACAGAAGGTAATTCAAGTGAAAATTTGAAAAATATGACTAAGGGCAAGATGAGATCTTCGAGAACAGGAACATAATTAAATTTCTCCAATTTTTCTTTTTAACTTAAATCTGCTCAACTAGTATTCTTCTGCTTATACAGCCTTTTATTTTTCCAAATCTATAATCAGAAACCTTGGTTATAACTATGCCTGTAATTTACTGAGCCCAATTATGTGTCAAGCTCTGTTAGGCATTGTACATATATTATCTCACTTAACCATCACAACAACCTTGGAATATAGGTACAGTCAGTCCCATTTTATACTCAGAGAAGTAAAGTATCTCACAAGAAGTAGCCCAGATGGTAAGAGTTAGGGTTTAAACTCAAAGTCAACCTCCAAAGCCATGCCCTTCTTTCTACTTTTAAATTGATGTGTCCCTATTAATATCAGTCCTCTCTACTTGAACTCAGCTTTAAAGAAGGGATAGCATTTGAATAAGCAGAACCAAATATCCTCACTTTTCTTAAAAATACTTAATATTTCTTACCTAAAAGGTTTTCTAGTTATCCTAATTTTACTCATTTTTCAAAGAAGAATTCAGCTCCTACTTTCTTGGTGTATTTGTCCTACTTTGGAATATGAGATTCTCTTCCTCTGAATCCTATACACATAGATACATATAGATTACTACTAGTTATTCTTTAAACCAAGGGCACATAAAACCCCAAGTTAGAATATTTTAGAAGGTTATATAAGCTTTCACAGGTCAGATATAAGTCAAGTCGTAAATTGATCATTGCCAATAGATAGTAATATTAAGTTCCCCAGATTTTTATTATAGTAAATGTGGGAAAGCAGAATTATTTCATTTATTCCATTTTTAACTTTGCATTCTAAGATTCTTGAAATTAAAATTTCCATAAAGTAAAACTATTTTTCTCATTTATTTTTTAAATTCTTAGAGCAAATATCCCCTGTGCCTCAAGACAGACTTGGATTTGATTTGAATTCAGGTGAACTTAAGTCTGCTGATAATGTCTTACCTAGAACTGTATCTCTTCGTCGCAATTTAAAGAAACAGTATAACAATCTATGCCAATTCAATACTTTGGATAATTTTGAAATCAGTCATGTGTCAGAGCAGTCTTTTGAATTGGAAACAGTTAGAGTTGTAGACCCAGTAGTAAATAAGTACATATCTGAAAATGTAGAACAAAACGTTTGTCAGTGGAACAAGTATCAAATTAACTTATCACCAAAACTGATTCACCCAGGAATATCTACTAAAACAAAAGAAGACATTTTAGAGTATAAATCTGAACAAACTAAACGTAAGCATAGAGATGCACAAGGAAGGAAGAGAGAAGAAAAAAGAAAAACTAACAGAAGGGGAAAATCAAAATCTGTATCTAAGTATAAATGGAGCAAAAGTAAAAATAAAAAACCCATTTCCAAAAACAAGTTGGATGATTTTGTCACTTCCAGTGATGCTTACAATTTTAATTCAGAAGAGCGTATTCACGTCACTCCTTTTCGACAAAAAATGAGCAATGGTTCTAAAATAGAAGAAAACAGCAATGAATCCGAAGTGAGCATCTGTGAATCAAGTGGCTCAGGAGATGATTCTGATGACCTCTATTTGCCTACTTGCAAGTACAGTCAGGATCTCACCAGTGAATCAGATAGGAGCCCAGTCACCAGGCCTCGATCTAAAAGAGCACTAAAATGTAGAGATGAAAAAGAGATGGAGAGTTCTCAGCCAACAAAAACTCCTACCAGTAAGTGATCTGCTTGTTTGCCTACACTTTTAATGTTTATGATAAATGATCACTCCTGATGCTTATATACTACACTTACCATCTGTTTCTCCGGGGGAGGTTAGAGACTTACCATCTGTCTCTTTGAGGGAGGTAACAGTCTGATTAAATAGTGGGGCGCTGAGGGTGTAAATCACAGTTGTGTTGCTCTGACCTGCTTTAAGCTAATTTAAATTCTCTTTAAGAACAAATACTACTTGTTATGGGGAAGGCATTTCTACTTTCAGTAAATGAAGGCAAGGCAAGGAAAAAACTCGTCTGTGGAATTAGGCTGAATTAAAATATCTTTTAGACATGCACCTGAAACATCCCCTTGAAAATGAAATCAAGCTTGAATCCAGTGACCTGTCATGTTAATGCTTTGGTTTCTATTCAGTTTGACAGGAACCATGATTTTAAATAACTTTCTAGTTAGTGAAGTTGGCCTAATAAGACTAAAAATCTTCTCAATTGATGGACTTAGTATTTCTTTTTTAAGACATTTGTAAGACATCTAAAAACTGTGGCTTTGTTAGATCAAAAGTCAGCATGGTTCAAAAGTTGATGATACAGCCTGCACCTCCCCACAAAGATGCTCACCTGGGAACTTTGGTTCATATAGTAAAACCGTATATAGTCAGATTGTATCATTCTCAGAATTTTGCTGTTATTTGATCCTAAGAAGAACTCTATGAAATGTGTCATCATGCTTGTTTTGTTTATAAAGAAACTAAAGCCTAAAGGAGTAAATGACTTCTGAATAACAATCAGTTAGGTGGTGGTAGCACACAAGTATCTTGTTTAAAAATATGCTATAAGGTTGCTAGAGTAAATCAAACAAGATTGGCAAAATGTTGGTAAATTATTGAAGCTGGGTAACTAGATTTATTATACTGTTGTTTCCATCTTTGTATATATGTGAAATTTTCCATAAGCTTTTAAAAGAAAAAAGTACATTTTGAAATAGTGTTACTCAGCTGTGGTCTCTAGACCATCCACATCAGCATTACTTGGAAACGTCATAGAATTGCAGAATATCAGACTATACCCCACACCCCTGAATCAGAATCTGCATCTCTTTAAAAAGTTCCCCTAAGGATTTGTATACACATTAAAGTTTGAGAAGCATTGTTCCAGAATATGGCACTGATGTTATCACTTAACCATATTTTCCAAACTTAAAGTTGGAATGATTAGTATGTACAATATGTTTATGTGAGGACAAAAAAGAATATTTGAAACCCATATAACCCAAGAGAAAGTAGCTGTTAAATATAAAATTATCTTACACTTGCAGTTAAGTTTCTTAGGGAATGATTTGCTTTTTAGAGCTATTTGAAGAGACCGTTTGTCTTGCAGTGTCCTTACTGTGTACTGGGTACCTGTCTCCCAATATCGATGTAGCTCCAAAGTAGAATAATTTGGATGCTCGTAGGAAAAACATTGAGTAACTTTTTAACCTACTAGCTTCACTAGAGGAAACCCCTTTTCTCCTGGTTTATACAGAGGCTTTGTTTAGACTTATCATTTATTAATAGAATGAGTTCAAGTGCCTTTATAAGACTATAGGAAGCTACTTGATGATAAACTTTGGTGCTGAAAGAAAGGCTTTGAAGATTCTAGAGAGCAAGGTGTGACTAAAATGAAATTCCATAATTTAAAATAATCGATTATTCCTAAGTTATCCTAGAATTTTGATTTTTTTTATTTTTAAGAATTTTAAGATTTAGCAAATTTGTGTCAACTCTTCATATCTATAATAAATATTTCAGTGTGATCATGAAAAAATGAACAGATTAAAAAATCTATTATAAAATGCTGGCTTTTATATATATTTAGGATATGTAATTGCATACAATTTTATTTACTGTGGGAGTTTTTTTTTTTTTTGGAACTGTATTCAGTAAAAATTGTTTTTATAGGTGCACTACCTGAAATTCACCGGTCACCTCATTTTGGCCTGAAGGATATCACCAATGTCCCCTTGGATCCTGAAGTGAAAATCAGAAAACTTTCTCTTTCTCCAAAAAAGAATAAAGAAATCCCAGTAGTATCTCTGCCTAAGCGTAGGTGCACGACCAGTGTGAACTATAAGGAACCCACACTGGCTTCGTAAGTATTTAATTTATAGAAACTCACTTTTCACTGGTATATTTTACAATAACTTTGTACTGAAGACTAAGTTAGTACTGGAATGTTAAAGAGCTCTGTTTACCTTTATAGGAAACTGAGAAGAGGGGACCCTTTTACAGATTTGTGTTTCTTGAATTCGCCTGTTTTCAAGCAGAAAAAGGATTCCAGACGCAGTTCTAAAAAAAAAAGTATGAAGCAAATACAATGAAGCATTTGTTGGATGCTGTTTAAATTCATCACCCCTTATACTGCTCGGAGAGAATCTGTAAGATTCTGTAAGTTCAAGTGTGTTGAACTACTGCCATAGAATATTCTCTTGACAGGACTCTAGATCGTGGACATTTCTTCAAAATCGTACTTCAAATGTGATTTTTTTTTCCTAAACCTTTATTAGATTTGGTTTTTCTGTTGTTGCTTTAAATATAAATAATTGCACTTAAGCACTATTATAGTTAAGAGTCCTCATACTGCCTGAAACCCTTAATTTTGGTCAAAATGTATCTTATACCAAAATTTTGGGAATTAATGATTATTCAAATTAACGTGTTTTAATTGTAAGTTTCTGGCTTTTTTGTGTTCCCTTAAGCAGAGAACACTAGGATGAATGATTTTTGAAGACAGTCTGAGGATATTTTGAAACTCCTAAATTTTGAATAATATAAGTTCTTAACATTCACACACCGTAGGGTATACTGTATTGATGGTTGATCCCTTTAACCATTATCTTATTTAATTTATCAGATAAAATGTGTATGAGATCATGATTAGAGGACTGATGGTTACCTAGGCTGAGGGACTTGGTAAGTAACTAACTCTGAACTCCAAGCGTTAAGTATATATAGTTTAAATTGATACTTCAGCAAAATCACAAATTATGTCATGGATTTTCAAGATTGTTCTTTAGTCAAAAACTTCCAGTGTTAAATGTGTGAATGCCAAGAGATTTTTGTATTTTTGATCAAACAATGAGATGGAATTAGTTCAGTTCTGAAAATTCAAAGCCAATGCTTGTATATACCTCTTTAAACTTTAAAGCACTGAAGGTTATCCACTTTTAAGGAAAAATAAAGTTTGTATGAAGATAGTGCTTGTGTTTTCTTCTCTTCTTTAAATATCAAAGAAAATGTATCTGGCCATCTTACCTTCTAGCCTGCACTGTTCTCATCCTTAGACATTTCTTACCCTACACCTTGGTTTTCTCTATAGTCATTGCCATGATACTCTTAGCTCCCCTACCATAGTCTCAACCTAACACTCCTCTCTTTCAGTTTTTCATCATGAAATATCCAGGTCCATGATCAACAAATTGTTTTACTAGGGGACTCTTTCAATCCTGACATCAGAGTTTCTTGACTGCATGTCTGTATCTTTCTGCATTCTGTATCAGTTACACCCAAAATCCTTTACATCAGCCAAATTTTTTTGTTCCTGATGGAATCGCTGATTCGTGTGTCTTATTTCCCATCACAGTCTCATTTTTTCCAACCACTCCATTTATATATATATATAAACTAGAAAGGCTACCTTTACATAAAATTAAATTCAATTTAAAATTTAATTTCTCAGTCATAGTAGCCACATTTCAAATGCTCAATAGCCACATATGGCTAGCAGTTACCATATTGGGATCAATGCAAATTTAGAATATTTCTATCACCACAGAAAGTTCTATTGGACAGTGCTGCTCTAGGCCAGCATTGGACAAACTACAGCCTATGGGCCAAATACAGCCCTCTGCTTTTGCATTGTCTGCAAGCTACAAATGGGTTTTTTTGTTCTTAAGTTGTTAAAGAAAAACACTATCAATTTCAATGATAGAAAACAGTAAATTTGAACCCCAATTTAGTACTTACATAATATCTGATTTTACCTCTTTGACCTGCAAAGCCTGAAATACTTACACTCCAGCCCTTTACCAAAAAAGTTTGCCAACTCCTGCCCTAGATCATTTACTGCCATTACTTTTACTTTATAAATCTTTTCTTCTGACATTTTCAGGTCTAGCTTTGATCTTTACCTTCCTTTCATCTTTAAAATCATTACTCTAAATTTGGTATTTTTGTACTTTTTATGTTTTGTATTCTTGCTGTAGCATTTATTCATAGATTGTTAAGAACTGTTTTGTATTTTAACATTTTACATGTTGTACATCTTTTTGCAACTGACTTGACTTAGTGTTGTTTTTGAGATTTATCCATGTTGGTAGCTGTAGATTATTTTCATTGTCGTACAGTATTTTGTGATATGAATAAATCAGACTTTGAGAGACAATTTGCTTTCATTTTTTCATTATTAAAAAACCAGCACTACAGTGGATATTCTACATCTTTGTACACATGTGAACAAGTTTCCATGAAGTTGATACCTAGAAGTAGAGTGGCTTTCTAAAGTGTTTGTACCAATTCTCTTGACACAAGGAATATATCACTCTCCTAACAGTAATTTGTTTCAGTGTTCCCCACACACTATCGCTTGGTGTAATATATTGAACACTAAATTTAGCCAAGCCAATGAGTGTAAAATGGTTTCTCTTTCAATTACTTATACGATTTTATCTTATCAAGTTAATTACTTGTGAGAATTAAAGTGTTTATTTGGTCATTTCCATTCCTTCTATGAATTGCTTATATCTTTTGCCCATTTTCCTATCAGAATGTCTTAATAATGTGGGTTCTTTACATATTCTAGATACTATTCCTTATCTTTACATGGGTTATAACTCCTCAGTTTCTACCTTGTTTTGTTTTTTATTTGTTTTTATACCTTGTTTACAATGTTGATGTTCAGGAGTTTTAAATATTTAGTATCCTCTATCATCTCCCTTAAGGTTTTTGTCTAAAATTTGTAGTTTTGCTTTTCATTTAGATCTTTAAACCATATGGCATTTTGAGGAGTAGGGACCTAATTTTATTATTTTTTTCCGTGAGAAAAGACAGTTGTTCCAGCACTATCCATTGACTTTCATCACTGGTGAATATTGCTCTTTGTCACACTGAGTTTCTTTCCATTGGTTTCTTTGTCTATTATGCTGGGTACTCTATAGTGACGTGTGTGTGTGGTGGTGGTAATGGTAGTGACAAAATATAATTAAAATTGATCATTTTGATCGTTTTTTAAGAATACAGTTTGGTGGCATTAAGTACATTCACATTATTGTGCAATCATCACCATTATCTACCTCCAGAACTTTTTCATCATTCCAAACTGAAACTCTGTACCCATTAATAATTCCCCATTCACCACATCCCACCATCCCTTAGTAACCACTCTTCTATTTTCTGTCTATGAATTTTACTATTCTAGGTAACTTATATAAATGGAATCATATATTATTTGTACTTTTGTGTGTCTGGCTTATTTTACTTAGCATGTCTTAAAGGTTCATCCATGTCATAGCATGTATCAGAATTTTATTCCTTTGATAAAGCTGAATAATATTCCATTGTATATACCACATTTTATTCATGCATCCAACAATGGATATTGGGGTGGTTTCCACCTTTTGGCTATTGAGAATAATGTCTCAAAGAACAAAAATGTACATATATCTGTCTTAGACCCTGCTTTCAATTCTTTTGGGTATATACCCAGAAGTGGAATTGCTGGGTCCTATGGTAATTCTATGTTTAATATTTCAATGTATAATACTATCTTGCAGAGCAGCTGTACCATTTTACATTCCCACCAACAGTGTACAAGGATTTCATTTTGTCCACATGCTTGCTAACATTCATTTTCTCTTTTTATGATAATAGCTACCCTAATGGGTGTGAAGTGGTATCTCGTTGTAGGATTGACTTGCGCTTCCCTGATTAGTGATGTTGAACATCTTTTCATGTGTTTATTGGCTATTGTATACCTTCTTTTGAGAAATATCTATTCAACTTCTTGGCCTATTTTTAACTTGAGTTGTTCTTGTTGTTGAGTCTTAAGAGTTTCTTGTATATTCTGGACATTTATTCCTTATCAGATATGTGACTTGTAAATGTTTTCCCCCATTATGTGGTTTGCCTTTTAATTCTGTTGGAGTGTCCTTTGATGCACAAGTTTTTTTAACTTTGACTAGGTCCAATTTATTTTTCCTTTTGTTAACTGCCTTTGTCATATCCAAGAGATCATTGCCAAATCCAATATCATGAAACTTTTCCCGTTTTCTTGTAAGTCACAATTTTTTAAAATACAAAGATGGAATTGGTGTGCTAATGTTTTGTTTAGTATTTTTTATACTTATGATCATAAGTAAAATTTGCCTAAATTCTTTCCCAAATACATCATATATTTTTGGTGACAAGGATATCCTAGCCTCAAAAACTAGCTGAGAATATTTTCTCTTTTTGCTCTATTGGACAAATTGTACCTATAGAAAGTTTGGTAGAACTTGTCATTAAAACCATTTATCATCCTGTGCTTTCATAGGGAAATATTTTTCTTAGTTTTTTAATTATGAGTCTAATAGGTTTAATTCTTGATTCTGTTTATTTAAATTACTTTTTTCTAAGGAATTGTATATTTCATCTGTTTAATGATATGTTATAATATTTAAATTTTTTTCAAATCTATACTACATAGTTATGTTACTATTTTTATTGCCTATTTGACACAGGACAGGGCAAATTTCCCAAGTGACAAGGAGACCAAGCCCTTATACCAAGAGAAGAAGAGGGTCCTTTGGTGGGTAGTAAAGAAAGAATTCAACACACATGCCAAAGTTAGAGTCAAAAAGATAGTTTATTAGAAGAGGGGTAACACTCCACAGAGGCAGAGAGTGAGAGGGACAGTGCAAGAGACAGAGAGACAGAGAAAAGGCACAGAGAGGGGACCCTGAGTGTTCAAGGAATTCAGTTTATATGTCATTCTTTAGTTCTCATTTCCTTAGTTACGGATATACAGTGAGGATGGGAAAGGGTACGTAGCACGAAAAGGCAAGACTGTAGAGTGAAAGGCCTGCTGGTAGTCACAGCCTTTAATCCATAGGTTCCCCAGAGTGTTAGCGTAGGGAATGACTCTTGGTTTCTGTTTCCCCTTCACAAAAGTGAAGAATGGGCTGTTTAGCAATCCCAGTAGAAGTTTTCCTTTGTTCTGAGGGTGTCCTCCCAGCCTGGCTGCAGGGCTGATCAGCACATTGCAGTCTCCGAATGTGGCTTGATTAACATTTTTAATTCTCTCGCCTCCTCCCTACATTATATTTGTACCTGCTTTCTTTTGTGTTTGATCCATTTTGCTAATTTTTGTTACTCTTTTCAAAGGACTAGCTTTTGTTTGACCTCAATTTTTTTCTACATTTTCTACTTTATTATTTCTACTATTGTTATTTCTTTTGTTCCCATTCTTTGGGTTTATGCTGTCATTTTTCTCACTCCTAAACTAGTTCCTTAATGTATAGCCTTCTCTACTAATGTTTTTGTAGACACTAGCTCTTCAGTATTTTTTTATATTTGTTTCCTTAAGTTTAATTTCAACTATATTTTCATAGTGATTTTCTTTTATTATAAATTTCTTTTTCATACCAAATTAGAGCTTTCTGTTATTGTTATTGATTTCTACTTTTTGTAATACATCAAAAAATATGATTTATATGATGATTCTTTGGTACTGTTAAATCTTTTATGGCTTCATAAGTAGTCAAATTTTGCAAATATTTAAGCGTACGATTGACAAAAATGAATTCTCTACTTGTTGAGTACAATGTTTTAAACATTTTCAAATTTTTATATCTTTACCTGCTTAGTCAGGTGCCCCTTCTTAAGCAGCACCTAGACTCACACTGGTGGCAGATGGCCTCAGTTTCTGGTGTGGCTTTTTGAGGCAACTATAAGAAGACCATCTGTGGATTGCTTGCTAAATCTTAACAGGTGGCCCTGGCGTGGCACAAGCTGGGTCTAAATTTGGCCTGCAGCTGAACCCCTCTCAGGACTGTGCCACTGGACACCTACTACACAAAGCCACAGTAATAAGACCGGGAGACTTAGGAACTTTGCTTAGTACATAGAAACAACACAGAGAGGCAGCCAAAATGGTTAGACAAAGAAGCAGAAACCATTTGAGAGAACAGAACAGAGATCCAGGAAAAATGGAGTCATCTATGCCTTGAGTTTTCCTTGAAAAAAGTTTTTCGTTATGAATTTAGTTTCCTTAATTGATATAGGGATGTTTAAGTTTTATATTTCTTTAGTCCATTTCTAATTGATATAGTTTCCTTAATTGATATAGGGATGTTTAAGTTTTATATTTTAAGTTTTATATTTCTTTAGTCCATATCTTGTGTGACTAATTTGTCACACAAGATATTTGTTCATCTAAGTTATCAAATGAATTGGCATGTTTATCATACATATTCTCTCTCCTTTTAATATCTTCCATGTCAGAGCTCTAGTTATGTCCTCTCTCATTTCTGGTATTGGTAATTTGTGCTCTTTTTTCGTTATCAATCTAGCTAGTAGTTTATTAGTTTTTTAAATAACTGATTATTTCACTGACATTTCTTCTTTGTTCATTCTTTTCCTATTTCATTGATTTGTATTCATAGTCTTCCTTCTACTTTGGGTTTAATTTGCTTTTTCTACCTTCTTAAAGTAGGCTGAATTAAGACCTCTCTTATTTTAATGCTCTAATTTTCCCCTTAAGCACCGTGTTAGCTGCATCCTACAAATGTTGTGTTTTCACTTTCATTTAGTTCAAGATATTTTCTAATTTCACTTGTTACTCTGTCTTTTTTCCCTCTATGCTTCATTTTGGATAGCTTCTATTGCCATATCTTAAACATATTTTCTTCTGCTTTGTCAAACCTCTCAATCCCATCCAGAGAATTTTTCACCTCTAGAAACTCCGTTTTTTTATATAAATCTTCTATTTTCCTCATTATACTGTTTCTTCATATCCTTGAGCATACTTATGTTTATAAAAATTTTCAATATTCTTGTCTGCTAATTCCATTATCTCTTTCATATCCGGATCAGTTTTTATTGGTCAATTTTTCTTTTAGTTATGTATCTCTTTCCTGCTTTGTATATCTTGTAATTTTTTATTGTATACTGTACATTGAGAATTTAACATTTTTTAAGCTATATTTTGTTGTATTTTAGAATTGTGAAGTTTGTTTTGTTGGACAATTGTTACTTGGAGATCAGCTTGATTCTTTTTAGGCTTGGTTTTAGGCTTTTGGAGGCAGGTCTAGAGTATCTTTTATTCTAGGGCTCCTTTAGCACAGTACTAAGATATGATGCATCTAAGATCTCCACTGAATGTCCCATGTTTTCTGGCTTCTGGGTGTG